GCAAATTACTGAAAATACAATCAAGGAAATTGTAACAGGTGGTCTTCTACTAACTACGATTATATTATGGCATACTTCGACGACTTTTCAGTGTACCTTTTTATTAAGTGACTTCAATTATTTCTCAGGAAGAAAGCAGTACACTGTATGTCAGGGAAAGTCGTCCACTTCGTTGCTTATTGAGGCTGGTGTCCCTCAAGGCGCTGTCCTTTCTCCTTTTCTGTTTTCTTTCTTCTTGCATGACTTGCCTCACTCTGATGAAATGAACTTTGTTAAGTATGCCGATGATCTAACTATTTCAATGTCTGTTAACTCCCAACTTGACTGTACTAAGATAAACAGCTTTCTATCAGTTATTAGCAAATGGTCTTCGCCTAAGGGCCTTAAACTTAATCCTTCCGAATTTCAGACTGTTAATTTCAGTTTCCGATGTCAACGAAAGTTAAATGAAGCCGTTGGTTCCTATGACCCTTGCAAAATTGATGACACTGATATACAAACCAAGTCTGAAGTTAAGTATCTTGGATAATTTCCCTTTTCTGACCTTTCCTGGTCCTCCCATGTCTTAGCGATTGCTAAAAGAATATTCCGTTTGACTTTTTACATTAAGAAGTTAAGGCACTCAGGCATAACTCAACCACTCTTCTTACAGTTTGTCAACTCGTGTATTTTACCTATTCTTCTTTACTGTTCAGCCTTATTCTTTCCTGGATTGCTAAAAAAGGACTATGTCATACTTCGTAGAACTCTGAAGACTGTCAGTAGGACGAGTGGTATCATATTGGGCCATATCATTGACATTGTCACTGATAGGCACTTGATGTCATGCAACAAATTCGCCAAAGGAATTTTGTCAGACTCTGAGCACCCACTGTACCTGCAGTTCCAACCTTGTGTCTCCTCAGGTAAAACAAGAAGTCTTTTCAGAAGACTTTGTGCACGTACGTCTAAGTATAAAAATTCCACTACACCATATTTAGCACGTACTTTATGTGATGAAAATAGTGTCAGGCATGAACCAACTAACCTTCTTAGCACCACTAAATAAACCATTTCCTCCACCCTTAAAACATCAAACTTTATTGTTATTGTATTTCTTATATTTATAATCCTCTCAATTTTTTGTTTTGTTTATTTTCTTCATAAGTGTGGACATAATTTAAGCTGTATTATAACTGTTAATTTTGTATTTCCCCTAACTACACTATATCAACAGAACATTAGATCCAATAATCTATAACACACTAAAGTTTCCAAACTGAATCGACAATACCGTTTGAGACAAATTCACTGTTGTTATTATTATTATATTTAATAATCTCACTTCGTGCTTCGAATATTTTTGACTTTATGTCGTAAATGTGGACAAATTCCTCCGGTTAATTTTGTTTTAATTTTATTTAAATTTTGAGTAAATCAGATGCAATATTGTGACAAATGTTGAGAATTGCATTCTGTATTATAAGTACTGTTTTTGGAATAAAGTAGATTATTATTATTATTAAAAAACATTGAAAACAAGGAGCTTGGAATTCTTTACATGTACTAACTCAAGACTCTGTAGGGCATCAAGCTTCATGCCGTTAAGCGATTGATAAATTCTTATTTAAGCTGTTTTTCAGTAGGTTAACTCACAGTAATGTTAATGTTTGAACAAAAATTATATACCAACTTTAATGAACAGTGGGAATAATTCAAGCAGAATAAGGAAGACCCATCTAGTAACTTTAGATAACCTTAGTAGTTATAATACAATGTGCATCATTTTACAAGTTGATAAAATGTGTTATTTATTCGGTTATTTTAAAAAAAGAGAAGCAGAAAGTTATTTAATTTCTATGTTGCTTAAAGCTGTAATTATTAAATTAAACTGACTGTCATTTTTACTGCCTCTGCTAGTATGACTCTGTGATGCCGTCATCAGTAGGTGGTACTACTTCACAGCAAATCAGTTACTTCTACAATAAAGAAGTCTGTTTCAGCATTTGATAAAAGTTGCTTTGAAATTAAATTCCATTCACCATTATGTCAATTAATCAGCAGGTGCTACTATTATTATTATTATGATGATTACTTGTGTGACACATATTATGCAAAAAATAGCTTGTTCCAATATAGTAGCAGTTCATGCCTTATCTTTTTTTTAATAGATGTGAATTAAATTGGGAACCAGAAGAGTGAAAGACTCAATTAAGCGGAAAATTTACATGTTAATAAAAGTGATAATAATGTTCATGCAGAGACGGGAAAATGCTGCATCAAAGTTTAAATTCTCTACAACATACGACTGCAATCTGTGGAAAAATCAGATGGTAATATCAATCATAACTCTCGCTGATTAATTTCTGTTTAATAAATGTAGCATAAAGGAATATGCTTACGATATTCTGGTATTATTCACTAACCTAAGTCTTATGTGATAGTTATATTTCCTTGTCTTTTTTCCTGTAAGTAAAGTAAAACATTCAGTTCCTACTTTCTATGGAGATTCATTAGTTTCAAGATGCATTTTCCAAAGTTCTTGTAATAATCTGTGTTGGATAAAGTTCACAAATTCACTTACAAGAGGAACAAATTGTTGATTTTATTGTATGGTTAGAGGTTGGGGACTATGTGTTTTGGATTCCCATCTGTTGTAAAGTTCACCTCAATAATTAACAGTCACTGTTTTAATCTCTCGACAAGTTGTGGTTGAACACTACTGAAGATTGTTAATTTAGGACGAAGTAGCTTTTAAGTGCTCTTCTCATTCAGGGTTGATTTCAGTTTGTATAAATGTTAACACTGAAAACAAACGTCACTTTGCATAATAATAAAGTAATACAAATGTTGTGCATATGGGAGTCACTAAGCAAAATAACCGTCGTTTCTTTGTTTCCCAATATCTAGATGCATATGAAATCATAAAGCGAATACCGATTCTGTTTAAAATGCGACTTAGCGAGAAACACTGACCTTCTGTAGGAATGTGTAGGACTACAAGCCCGAATAGCTCTGTGGTAATGTCTCTAAATGCAGCACTTGGTGCTCCGGATTCGAATCTCAGACAGGGTATGAGTTCCATCAAGATCGTGGATACACCTTACTGACGAGTGTCAACAAGCACGAAACCTAGGCTTTCTGCTGGTTGTGTACAACCTCTTAATATCACGATCAATAACAAGCTGGAAAAGATGTTATAGTCAAACAAAATCCATCTTTCGTTCTTATTGGTCAAACTTGTTCTGCATATATGCACTGAACTCTAAAAGTTACGATTTGCCTTACTGACTAAGATATAAAAATCACGTTTTGTTAACCCCAACAACAATTTTAATGCGACGTTTGAAACTACAACCAAATACTCTCGATGGAAGATGAATCTTTTGGGAATATTATTCACTAGATAAAAATTGTGTATCATCAGAGACGATTGTCATTAAATCTTAAACCACTAACTGTTGCTTTTACGAGTTGATCACGGACTGATATCAGTTAGAGAACCATTGAAAACCAGGGAGTACTGGACAGCTGCTGTTTCATCCTAGTTTGGGAATCATCGGCAGTACGCACCCACTGGGATTCGAACCCAGGACCTTCCGGTTACAAGGCGAGCTCAAACTCAGCCACTGGGACCCGATTCACTGGCTCATGAATTCTAACTTCTAACTGTTGTACATTTTCACCTAAATCTAGCAAATAAAGATAACATTTCACTAAGAACACATTCATGTGCCCTAACTAAAACTGCACTTCAGTACGTCTCTCTTACTTAATCTAGTGCTGACTAACTTTAACAGGCGCTGCTCTGGATGATCGTAGTTTATCTTCTAATAGCATTGCAAAGATAAAATAGTACTAGTAGCCTTCAATCTTGTTATAATTGCTTTAGAGGTCATTTATTCCTTCTTAACCAAGTCAGTACTGCTCTAATAAGTCATTTCAGCAGCTGTTAGTTATACTCCACTTCATGACTTAAGTCTTCACTTCAGTAGTCTGTATTATCTTAAGTATCTTAAGTATAAAAATGTCACCACACCCATCGTCAGAATTTATCCTTTCTTCAACTTTCCACATTATGAATAATGTCAACCTTCATACCTCCATACTAAATCGGAGTATTTCAGTATTCAGCAGTATTTCAGTTACTGGGTGTTAAAATCTAAATTCCATTCATCAATCCTAACAGAATATTTTCACACTCTTTTCACATTTTTTTTAATGCAACTATTTACCTCATCTGACAGATTAACAATCATTTTCAAACAATAAGTTGATCGTTCTCATTTGATAAGAGTTTGAGGTTAAGCTTCAAATCTTGATTACATCATTAGTCGGTAATATTTATAATAATAACAATATTAATAATAATGACAGCGTATTATTCCTGTGGAGGTGAATATTCATTTAGCTAGCCACTCGCCTCCCCTCCCCCTAGGGAAACCAGAATGCCTATGAATTAATTTATTTATTATTTTCTCATTATTCATTACAAAAAAAAAGTTGAAATGGTGCAATTTCAACAATGACTCACTGAAGTTTATCAGCCATCTGAAATCAAAATTTATACTCTTCACTTTCCCTGTTATCATCATTATCATTATCATGTGAAGTAGCAGCATTCACAGCAAAAGTGTAAGCATGCAGTTCATTCAAACCAAATGCGTTTCTTTTTCCTCATCAAAATAGATAATTTCAATCAGATATATGGTCATAATACTGCCATTGCACTTTGTTTATTTGTTTGTATGCATAAACAAATGTGAAGTGAAGTGTGAAAAGGAGAAGAGAGTTGAATAAATACACGCCAACCAATCAAATTTAAGTGCGGTGATTACACCTTGCATACAATATGGGGAGAAATAAAATACATTTTCCTATTTGACGAAAGACAAAGGGAAGGTGAAAAGAAGAGAGGGGCAGAGGGAAAACAAGACGAATGGTTAGAAAAAAAAGATAAATTAACAAATAAATTCTGATATAAATAACGCCAGTGTTCGCAGCAGTGTTCACATACAGAATATTTTTATAATTATTGCTGTTTCAAAAAATGAATATTGAAGATAGTCCATATCATCACAGGAAATCAATGAATCAATCATATCTAGAATCGATAATTGAAAAACACTTTTACCCTTCAAACTATAATCGAAGTGATAGTCAAGATATTGATATGCTACTGGAATCTCCATCAAATTCTAGTCAATTTTCAACAGTACAACGACATCAGCAACATTCTACTCCTCTGATATTATCAGAATATCGAAATTCTTATGAAACGATAGAATCACTAACCCAACTGAATGATTATTCTTTAATGAATCAACTAAATCCATCTGTCTGCTATCAGTCGAATAATTTAAGTGGCTACACGCATATTAGTAATGATAATAATAACCGTAGTCACCTTACTTATATGAGTACTCCATATGTCAAGCGTGAATCTGTCAGTCAACAAAGAAATGATGAAGACTTCTTTGATTATTTATCTTTTGATGCTGGGAAGACAACACTTACAATACCAATTTCAATAACCAACAGAATCGAAAATAGACAATCGCATAATTTTCAATCGCAGTTTCAAAACAGTGAACTGGTAAACCAACCTACTGTCAATTCATCTGATCAAATTTCCCCGTTCATTCATGAAGTTCACACAGAAGAAAACTTATCGATAAAACATCCTCGTAATTCTCCTGTTGTTCAGAATGTAAGTCAGTTGTTTACAAGTTAGTAATGCATCCATCTGTGTCTATGAGCACCATATTTTGATTTGTATTTTTAATTTGAAATATACTACTGACCTATCTATTTCAAACATTGCCTATCCCCCTTTTATGTATATATAGGGCAATGTTTAATTGTAATGAAAAAGTCGAAATAGTTTTTCAACTAAATTTGCATTTTGCACGATGGAATCAGGAAAACTTTGTTGTTTTAAGGTTATGAGAATGAAATAATATAAGCGCTTTCATAGGCATTAGTAGGAAACTATAGTTGGCAAAAGTAACAACATGAATAGTGTAATTTACACGTATCTCCAAACCATTCAATCCATTTTTAGTTTGTCAGTCCATTCTTATCATTTGATAGTATTCGAGCAAACTGGAACTGTGCGGTTTTTCAAGGTAAATTTAGCTAAGTGTGAAAATGGTCAGCTCATTTCTAAAGATTTCTCAATAATAGATAGAATAGAATATCAAATATGTTAATTAGGTTAGAATTCGAAAGTAGTCGAAATAGTTCAGTAGAGATTGGTTGAAGTCACGTGTTTCAGCTGCGTTGAGTTTGGTGGCGATTCGATTAGTCGTATACTATTCAAAGTTCATCCAAATAAATCAGCGATTAAATTTGATCTATCTTAACTGTTTGATGACTTACAGAAAAGTATTTATGTATATGTATTCATCTTAATAAGTTTAAGAATATTTAAAGAAGAGATTAATGTGGTATGAAGAAATAATCTGTATTGTAGGTTTTTTCAGTAATATTTGCCTCATAGGTGTCCCGTCGTCCAAAATCTCATGGTAAGAATTTTGTTATGCTGATAATCATAAAAAAATCATATATTGGCGCTAGTCATCTTGATCATATTTTTTCCTTAAGGCAAAGATGAATCAATTTTAGAGCATCATTATGGAGACATACAATATGTAGGAAAGAATGGAGATGGATTGGGTATATGCCAATGAGGAGGCCGTCGAATGACATCACGCGCAATGCAGGCCATTGCTCAAGTGGAATCCCAATGGGAAACGACGAGTGGGTCGTCAGTACGAGTGTGACATGCAAGAAATCGTGTAGCGAGCAGGAGATGAGAGATTATGGTCAGTCGTGGACGTAGCTGAAGACTACTTCACTACCTTCCTCTGCTAGAGACTATTATAAACTGTTTTTATTATTAAGGTGCCTTATAAAATATATGGAAAACTTTCTATTATTTTTATTTAATAATAAAAATTCATTTTCTTTTTGAAATAAAAATAGGATGGAAACAATTCAAAAATTCGTTGTAATTCAACCAGATTAACTTCAACAGTACGCAGACAACATCAACGTGAACAAGATAAAAATCGTACAAGAACACTGAATGTGGCATTCTGTAATCTACGGTCATGTCTACCAGAAATACCAAAGGATACAAAACTTACAAAAATTAGAACACTACGTTATGCAATAACGTATATTCGTCAATTGATGGATTTACTTCAAGAAACTGATCCAATGTTCACTGCATCAAGTCTGATGTTCAATGGTACAACTAATTCATTGAAAATGGTAAGAATGACTTTATTTGATAGTATGATGCACAGATATTTCGCCTTCATGTAAGAAAACATATATCGAAAAGTCCTTGTAAGCCGTCTTCAGTAGCATAATTAGTAGGTCACTATGTGATGACAATTAACCACTCAATTATATTAGAAAAAAATCCTTCTTGTACTGTGCCTCAGGGACTGCAATGTACCTAACTGTATTCTGTGGTATACATTAAGTAATCACTGTATAAGTATCTTTAATAACAGAGGAGAGATGTCCAGTATTCTTTCATATAGATATCAGGCAATAGCCTTTCCTTTTTATATGAAACATCAAATTCATGTGATACACTACTTCATCAGGAGGGGGCCAAAGCATCAAGCATCTCATACAACTTAGCAAAATACGTTAGGTGAAGTATACTTTTAAACATTTACTGGTTTAAATCTTCTTAGTTAGTAATTTGCATGATTGACAGAGCGATACTGATCAGCTTATTTTAGTATTTCGAAATATCGACTTATCATAACTACGGATGAAAAGTGCAAATTCAAATACGTAGAAACTCACTGTCCACCGTGTCTAGTGTTTTCCGCGTTAATGATTTTCAACCTAATATTTCAACGATTCTTAATGATTCTGCTAACACCGAAAATGACAAATGTTATGAAGAAGTTTACTCATTTTAAACCACCGCAGCTATCCAAGTAACTTGTATTTCTCGGCTTTAAAAAGCAACAGAGTTACACGAATACTGAAACTTGATAGATTTAACTTGAAAATACATAAGAAACTAATATTTCTTTATTATTAGGTGGGATAAATTTCTTGATTGTGGTTACTAATGCATCCACAAAAACCTAGAGATTAGTAGTGAGTTCTATTGATTTCTTATTCTTTAATCATTCCTAGTGACAAGGTCAGTTAGTTTGTAATGTTTAAAGATAATTCTAATCTAACGATGCTGCCTTGAATGTTTCAATATTCATTACAAAAATATCTTTCATCAGTATGGACGTATTACATTACGGTTTATATATGTTTAGCGTCAGTGGTACATCTGGAGAAAGCTCGTTAACCACGCATGTGGTTCGGGGTCCCACCCCAGCCGACTCACTCATTTACCTCGCTAAGCCAGTAATAAGACTGGTAAACAGGGAAGGTTGGGCGTGAGACTAGCGAACCCATCCCGTAAAAATAAATAAACACCACTGGTACGGAAACTTCAAGGCTCTAGTTTGAAACTCTATGTTCCACTGGCAACATAAAGGAATAAAATAAGTAATAATTATTATAAATGTTTAAATAGTTCACTGGCACTTTATTCTATTATCCAAAAGCATACAGTAATTATTATTATTATTACTACTATTATTATACGCTGATTTTATACTTCATTTTGTTATTTGTAGGAGCCTGAATATGATCAATTATCGATGAAGGACAGTGGATATCTCAGTTTTATGGATAGATAATTGACATTACTATGCTTATTGCTTATTTTTCTGCCTCATTTTATCATCTACTTATTTTTAACTACATATTTTCTGATTGTACATAGATTTATTCTCAGTTCAATGTTTGTTTTTTTCATTTCTCTACATTCAATTTCTCCACCTTTATTCTTCAGAGAAAGAAAAAAGAGTTTAACACTAGACAATATTCATATTTGCTTTTATTACACAAATGATTTTTTATTTTCTAAACACAAAATGCCATTTTTCAGGTAATATTTTACTTCTTTTTCTATATTAAGATATGATTAATATGCATTCCTGTTCATTCCTTTTTAAAATAACACAATAAAGAAGAGATATATTATTATAGAAGATAGTTTGCTTTCAATGATTTCTAATGCGACCGGTGAACAATATTTGGTCCCCGTAGAGTAGAGTATATGGATTAAGTAGCACATCTCTATTTCATCCTGTTTTCTGAAGTTGTCTTTATCTGCCTCCACGATTGTCTGTTAGCTGTTATCTCCTCCCTGTTGTTGGTTGTCCTCTGTATGTTCATTTGGAATTCTGTCAAGAATTAAGCCTCCTAACTATGAAAAAAATGTTCCCATAGCTTAGGTAAGTCTTATAGATTTTGCTTTACTAATGCCACTGTGAGGTTGTATTCAAAGACTTCATTGTCAAGCAAGTAGCGACATAAAATCTTTCCCAAAACTACTGGATAATGGAATATAAAATTAGTCTACAGATAAGGATCACTGTCACACTGAGGTGGAACACTACAATTGTCTAATGCTTTCAATGCATCTCTGTAATATGTCAGCACTAAGTACTTAATACTTCCTGTGTGAAATTATTTATTTCGTGTTTATTTAGGAAGATAACGGTGTTTAAAGTTTGTAAAAGTATAAGACCTGCGAAGAGGGCAGTTGTTGACATAAGTCTGTAGCCTATTCGAAATGCTTTTGGTGTCTCTGAACTATATACATACAATGATTATATATCAGTGTTGAAAATCAGAATCTTTTCCTTTATGTTGACTGCAGTCGATTTCCAGATTAATTTCAGATCAATGAAGGTCTGCCTTGCTTTGCTATTGAAACGAATGTACCTGGATGAATGAAAGAAGTGACTTCCTTCAAGTTTCTCCCGTTGATCATGATGGTGCTTGCTGTTGTTTGTTGGTTATCTTCATCACTTCTATCTCCTCTATGTTCACTTGAAGTCCTGTCTTTACTGCTTCGTCTGCCAACTTGTTCGTTTGAGGTGAAACACTGAAACTGTTTAATACTTGCGATGGATTTTTGAAAGAAGTCATTAATCGGAGATTATCACTTCACGTGTAAAACCACTCACTTTGTGTTTATTTACGAAGATGAAAGCAAACATCTTATATGGTATCACTTTAATCAATACTCTCTGAAGGTTATATAGGAATTCCTCGAAGTTAACAGACTTTTGCTGATTTGTCATAAAAGAATTATTAATAAATTAGAACGATTGCTCATTGAGTCTGAATATCTACTCATAAATACATTAGATTATTAAAATGTGTTGAGTTATGACTAGATCCACAAGTAGTGACTTCTACTTTGAACTTGAACACTACACTGCTTATATATTAATCAAC